TTAGGTGATGGGACATTTTGTTATGTTCTTTAAACTTTATATCAATCATGAGATGGTGTCGTATATGGATTTGAAATTTCCTTTTCCATTGCAGTTATTTGAAAAATTCCAAGTCAGATAAATATGCAATTAAAAATGTACATAGTACATAATCTAAAAGTATATGTAAAGAGTAATGTTTTTCGAAAAGTTTCTAACGTTTTATGAGGAAATAATAGACGCACAACGTTTTTTGTTTTATATTATTTTGTCGAATTACGTACGATCCATTTTGTTCTGTTGGGATAAACACCGCGACATTTCACAGACTTGGTTTCATATTTGTACGAAGGTGCATTGTTGTAAAAAACACGTTTGCGAAAGAAAGACACTTTCCGGACAACCTAATACGTCATTTCAGAGATCTATTCCAGCAGAAATGCTGTTTCCCATATTTAATCTACTCCTCTATTTTTCAGAATAGGCATAGCTGCCCCCAAAAGTTTTACTTCTTTTTATAAAAATGATTTTTTTATAGAAGTAGATATTTTATAGAAAGGATATAGCACGTTCAAATTTTAAAAACTCATATGATGTATACGAAAACCTTCGTGTATAGATCTTCGCAAACATTGAAAAGCTGAAGTTTCAATAGGGATAGTCGATATTTGACTCGCTAATTTCTTTAGATTCGCGTCATTTTAGATCTCCATACTCTGTATGCTAGAGAGAATTCTTGCCGTATTTCGAATGGAAGTCCACGAATAATTTTCAGACACTCCTCGGTCACAGTTTTAGTTTGGACTGGTATGTTCAAATTGGCGTGACATCAGCCAATCTAGAACGGTTATTAAGAACCCAGCCCTTAATGATTTTATTTCCGTGGCACTTAGGATGTTACCCAGTCGTTAAAATAGTTGAAATAAGATTACAATTCAGCTTCCAACTGTCGCACTTCTTGCTTTCTCCTTTTCTCAATGATATCGTTTCTATAGTGAGAATTCAATTTTTCGCCATTTGTACATTCTAAGCAATTTATTTTTCCAACCAGTTAAGACATTTAAAAGGAAATGCGCATGTTTCTCTTCTCATCTAGTAACAACTTTAAAGATATTCGAGTAAAAAATTTACATTTATTTTAGTCTAATGTATAATTAAGTAGATATATATCTTATTGTATCATTTCATGTTTAACGTCGAATTGAAATTCCCAATTGTCCATATTTTACACGAAAATGCATATTTTTCCAGGTCAAATACAGGAACTTCAATTACTTCAATTATTTCTTGAAATTTCAACATCAAATTTCGAAAATCATCAATAATCTTTGACATGCCGTCTGCCTGCAATGATTCACGCTATTCCCCAACGAGAAACAAAAGCAAAGAAAACGTTCGAATCGACCAAACGTAGAACGACTGAAGCCAACAATGTCAATTCATAGTCCCCGTGTCCGTTTGCTGATACCAAACGCAGAACAATATTTCACGAAATCACTTTACCACCCGCGGCTCGTTTCCAGGTCACTAGACAGTTCTCTCCAATCGAACCAAAAGCAAACCTGTCCAAGAGGCAGACTCATCACGGTAATAATAATTCATACGGAACAAGAACAACCGAGGCTCGAGGCTTCCCCATCCCCTTCTACTACACTCCACGTTGTTCTAGTTATACAAATATGCAGCCCCTTTCATAAGTATTACATCACATTCTAGTTTCGTATGAAACGTGATAAACGATCGACGTTGTTAGGGAAATAATTAATGGGTTAGAATTTTGTACTTGTACGAGATATTAATTCAAAATACGTACATCGTGGTGACAAATTGTGAAATACATTAGCAAGAATTTTACAGCTTTTTGCCAATTTTACAACTAATGGGTTCGTAATAAAGATGATTTTTGGATAATAATGCGCTTTAAGTTGCGAGAAGCAAACCTCGCGATACGGTGAAATGAAAACCCATCTACGTCTTGACTCAATTCTACCAAATGACCAAATCGGACAAATTGTGAATGTAAACAACTAAATAAAAAAAAAAAAAAAAATAAACGTCTTGACTCGTAGTTAGAACAAAGAAAATACTTAATCTCATTATACAGATGTATCTTTGATAATTGGTGAAATTTTTATTTGCACGTCGAATACATGAATTTACAATTTAAGATTTCAGTTTAATAATTTCCTAATAGCTTGTCAGATTTACTTTACTTTTTACTTATGAACGAGAATTTACATTGGAAAGTGTACGGGAGTCGAATCGATCATCGTTCTTGTTTTTTCATCGAACATCGTGAACGTGGCAGCCGGCCAGATTCTCCTGCGCTCGTGCTTCAGCATCGTTATAAATGTGGTATTCGTTTAATGTTGCTGCTATCGTCACCTAATAGCAATAACCTCGGAAATCATAGGTGTCGACTGCGTTCTTAATCTCGTGTTATATGTTCATGAAAGAACCGCTCGTTAGAACTTGTAATAGAACGGAAGCATAAATCCGACAGGGATTATTATTGCTTTCGATTAATTGACCGTTTGATCGATCGATCACGGTCGATCTTTAATTCGGTCGAGTGGATTCTTTAAATTCTTCGTGATTTTTGCATATACATATAAATAAGATCAAATTAGAAAAAATTATTTCGTCTGAAATTAAGTAAATACGTATAAAATATAAAAAACAGATTGAAAAGAAATATTTTCAAAACAAATGGAGTTAGAGATATTTTCAAAATTATTTTTACTTCCTTTTCTTTTAAAGTATTGATAATTTTATAATATAATTAGTTTATTATTTTACTAACTTTTAAATGGTTTTAAATTTAATCATTATACTTATATCTTATCTTTCTTGACAACATTCGAAGCTACCTAAGAAAAATTTCAGTGTATTATATTTTGATAAATATCGAGCAGTGTTATGTTTCATTCCGTATAATTTGTTACGGTATCGATATCATTGTATCCTTCTGACATTTATACTATTGTGTCTCAACGAATTGCATATTATACGAGCTCGTAAACCTTGAAATTGTCTGTTAGTTTATCACGTAGATAACATGGCGGACTGCCAGCTTGCGAATATTTTGCAAGCTCGCTAATTGCTCCCATAACGATCGCGCAAGCATAAACCGTATAGTTTCCATCGTGTGCATTTTGCTTCGTATACAGGATAAGAAAATATCAAAGGCTAATCACGTCGTATTCGCGGTCTCTTCCTCCTTTCGAAATGATGTTATACCTTCATTAAACTCTATACAAAATGTATGACGGAGATATTAATTAAGGGTTCGTTAATTCAAACGGAAGCAAGTAATTAAGGTTTACAAACGACAAAGGGATACACAGTCTGGACTAAATAGAAATTCTAGCTAAGAACATACGTAGAGTTAGTTACCTTCTCTAATTAATTTGAATTGTGAGATTTTAATAAAATTGTTAAATTTAATAAATTAACAATTTTTTAAACTTACATTCCTTATTTTCTATTTAAACATTTTTTAAATGCTTTTAGGCACAGCTGAAACAAGTTTCATAATACTCTAAAAATTCTATTTTCAGCATAGAATCTAACAAAATAAGAAGATTAACATAATTTTTACATATTTGTGATAAGCGGAATCTGATAACGTAGCAGTCAACCTTGAGATAATGCTCCATAAATCACAATAGCACTTCAAACGTTATTTCGCTGGATATATACCTTAAAACATTTCGTGTTCGAGCTTTAACATTTTATGTTCAACAATTTTAAAATACACGTTACTTATGTGTATAATACTTATGAAAATAATATATATCTAAAACACTACTCTTACAGAATTCAAACAGATTTCAAACAATGATACAACTTGTCAATTTCATTTAAAAGTAAATGTTAAAATGTTACGCGTTAGTCTCAGACACAAACAGTAACATCGATGTAATCCAACATCCACACATGAATATGTAATTAAATAAAAAGAAAGAGAGAAAAAGAGATCGTCGCGCGAAAAAGCATATTCGAATGGTATGAAACGGTCTCCGTTTCCACGGCCGCCACCTGTGTATACATATGTAGACACAAAGGGTTCCTGGGGCTTGCAATCGCGCGCGGGCGCGCGCGCGT